GAGGGAGGGAGAGAGGGAGAGGGAGAGAGAGAGAGAGAGGAGAGAGAGAGGAGAGAGAGAGGAGAGGGAGAGGAGAGAGAGAGGGAGAGGAGGGAGAGGAGGGAGAAGAGGGAGAGGAGGGAGAGGGGAGAGGAGAGAGAGAGAGAGGAGGGAGAGGAGGGAGAGGAGGGAGAGGAGAGAGATGAGAGACCCACACACACATGTGGACATAAAAAGAGATGGAGATGGAATATAGATGGAGAGAGGAATGGAGAAAGAGACCTGGAAAAAGGAAGAGCAGGGAAGAGAAGAGAGGATAACCATAACAGAGAGGGCACATAAAGAGGGAGAGATTAAACTGCATATTCCTTTGGTTAGATGGTAAAATAAAAATATAATGTTTTTTTTTAAATCATTACTTTGAATGATTCAAAAAAAAAAAAATTATTGCACTTTTTCTGATAAAACTTTTTTTTTTTCATTTATATATTTATGATGAGTTTTTGGTAACACTCCAAATTTGGATCTTCAGTTACACATCACATCAACACACAAAAAAAAACATTCACCTTTTGTTGATGAAGTTGATAGCCTCATATGCTGAGTTGACATTTACAATAGGCATAATAGGTCCAAAAATCTCTTCAGTCATAACCTGTAATAAAAATAAGATCACATATCAAATACACAAAGATTTGGCCCTAGAATTCCTTAAGAGGTAAAACTGTGGCATATTAATAACCTTTATCTAATTCAGTAACCCAAATAATATGAACCTAAAACCATACGTAAGAAAGCATGCAGTATAATATACCTTGCTCTCAGGGTTAACATCCACAAGGATGGTCGGGGAAATCCACTTGTCTTCCTTATCCACTTCTCCGCCAACAGCTACTGTCCCATCCTTGAGATACTCTTCTAGGCGACTGAAAGGAAGTAGTGTAGATTATCAATACCAATGGAAAAAAATATAGGCAATTGCAAAGAAATATATGTATGTAATTTTATAGAGAAGGAGAATGTGACCTACTACTATAAATGGTAACAATGCTAAAAATCATTATCAAAGTACTAATGATATCATATGGGTCTAATGTCTTGATGGTAAACAGACAGAATTCATAGAGTCCCTTGCCTGAAATAAAATCCACTGACTGAAATGGAAAAATTAATTCAGCAATACTTTCATTATTGCAACTGTTCTTTGAGATCAAGAGTAAAATAGACAGAAAATAACACTTACTTGACATGTTTATCTGTAACAATCCTGCACAAATCCGGAGACTTTTGAGGGTTTTCAGTATACCACTCCTTCATTACCTCCCTTGCCTTGTTCACAAACTTATCCTGAACTTCCTTTGAACAGAGGATATAGTCAGGGGCAATGCAGGTTTGGCCAAGATTGATGCATTTTCCCCACATGATGCGGCGAACTGCGACGTCCATGTTCACAGTGTCATCAATGTAGACGGGACTGAGACCAAGAAAAAATTTACTTGTGCTATATGGCCAGTGTGTAGCAAATATTGTAGAGTGAAGGAAGGAACAGGTCAAAAGGTTATCAAAGACCTTCTCACAAACTAAAGATATCTGAGCAACACAGACAAATCAGTATTTGAGGATATTTTTTTCAAGTCTGTATTTTAACCCAATGCCGCCGGGTATGACGTGTACGTACGTGCTATGCCCACCGTGAGTACTTGTTTGATTATTTTTACGCATAGATGGCAACACTTGCACTAAATTAGCAATGAGCCAACTACGAGCACCGCCCGTCTCGCCCGTTTACCCGTTTCTTTGATTTACGAAATATTTTACGTTATCTTATTTTGCTGTTACTAATGTTAAAAAACATTATAAAAATCATAATGTTTATGATAAAAATAACACCATCGATTTTCATAGCACTAGTGAAAAATATGTTTTTCCCGCTATTTCAAATCAGGCGCTAGCAGAGCCATCTATCGGCAGACATTTCATGAAAAACATAGAAAGTGAGCACAGCATTTTCCCCATTTTTTGTTCATTTTCCCCGGCGGCATTGGGTTAACCCCTTGGTGCTGGGTGACGCCAATCAGCGTGTACACAAAGAGCTCGAAAGCTGGCGTGCAGCCGAACGAGCCGGCGGCGTGCCAAAACGCAGCGAGCCAGTGATTCGGGCTGATGTCCCCTACTCACGCGCTCAAAGTCGGCGCGCCGCCTTTGTTTGTTTAAGCGTAGAGTTTTTTTTTTTCTTTTGTACACCCGGCGCCATTGGGTTAAGATACTATGTTTTGCCTAACTAAATTGTCACTAATGATGAAGAAAGACCAAAAATGTATGTATTTATAATTTGCTGTCACTGGATGACAGCGGATGAGTATGGAAAACATGGTGGATGGTGGGTGCATAATATGTACCATAATACAGAGGGGCTTTACAATTGAAATTTGTTTTTGCTTATAATGAAAGAGATGAGAAAAAATAGTGCAATAATAATAATTAAAAAATAATAATAATGATAATAATAATAATAATAATTATTACTATTAATATCATTATCATCATCACTGTCATTATTATTATCATTATCATGAAAATAACAACAATATTAATAATACTTTTTAAAAAGGTGGAGGGCTTTACTAAATACATTGCAAACTCATATTTCCAAGACAAAGCAAATCCAATGATACCTCTTTCCACCCAGCTCAAGAGTAGTTGGAGTTAGGTGTTTATTGGCAGCATCTCGAATAATCTTCCCGACTTGGGGTGATCCAGTGTAGAAGATGTAGTCAAATCGCTGTTTGAGGAGCTCCTCTGTTTCAGGAATACCACCGCATACCACATGATAACATTCCTGAAAATACACAGGTAATGAAAAAAAAATTATTGTTTACAAGTAACAGAAAAAAAAGGGGGGAGCAAGTTGAAAACAAATTGGTAACGTTAGAAAATAAGTAGATTTCCTGGCTCAAAACTGGCCCGACACCTCGACATGAAGTGTATCCCCTACGATTACCATGATGTGACCGTCATGTCATGAAAAATCTTGGCTTGAGGGCAGGTGATGTGAACATGCCATCATGGCTAAATTTGAGAATATCAGCTGAAGACCAGAGTGAGGGTAATGTGTATTACGTGTACAAAGCTCTTGGAGGTGATTAGGCATTCAGGAAGGGACTTTTGCATTATTTCCATTGATAAAGTGTGGAATGTACTATCTGTGAGCCATGACTGAAAGAATGCTGGCTCTCAGGAGGATGCTATTCCCATGCTCAGGATTCTATTCCTGCCTACCGTGAAGGGCGGCACAAATTGTATTACTGAAAAATAAATATCAAGAAAAATAAAGATATGGCACAAATAACAAAATGTTACTTATTAGCATTTCTATTGTACTGAGTTATAGAATACCTAGAAGAGAAATGATATGGAGTTTGTGCAAGGAAAAGAGTCTATCACCATCTGGATAAAGCAAATCAAATGACAAATATAGACATTGGAAAGTAGCAAAAAAAACAAAGAAACAAGAAATGCTTGTAAAGAAAAATAAAAAATAAGGTCATCAGTTTTTAAAAATAAACTAGCCATCTACAGAGCTACAGAATGAAAGAAAAATAAGGAATACAAAAGAAATTAAAAAAAAAAAACTAATTCATTAACTTACACTATCCAAGTATTTTGGAAGAAGTTCAGCAACTGCCTGTGCTGTGGCAGGTGAAATCTCGGATGGTTTGATGATCACACAGTTTCCAGCAGCAATGGCACCTAATTATGATAAACTCTTGGTTAATATCAAAGTTATAGCAATCAAATTGTTCTGGTAGTATCAATAGAGCATCAGTTGAATATTTAATTAGAAGGGAAATATGGGTTAAGTTTTAGCAAATATGTAATTGGAACCTACTATTCCATATGTAAGTTAGTCACACTACCCTATCAAGTTTCCATTTTGCTTCTGTTCAAAAAAGATTATACGAGCACTAAAATCTCACTTCAAAGAATAATATAACAAGATGTGCAATACTGACTCTCAGCTGTACATTATGTACCTGACAAAGGAAGAAGAGGAAGCTGAAGTGGGTAATTCCAAGCTCCCATAATCAGCACTACACCATAGGGGTCATGGTATATCAAAGGAGTGTCAAACATTGTCACCAAATTTGCTGCAATCTGAAAATAGAGTTAACATGAACAATAAGACTTCACAGTATTTCTAATCTAACTTACTTTCCATGCTAAAGTATCATACTTTATAAATATGGGAGTTACATAACAATACCAAAAAATACCACCCCCCCCCCACACACACACAGTCTGACAGTCTACATACCTTTTCTGGCTTAGCCCATTCATCAATCCTGGCAAGGATGTATGTGATGTCATCTTTTAACAGATTTAGTTCAAGCAACACACATTCCTGTTTTGGCTGAAAGTCAAATAGAAACACAAGGTTATATCAGAATATAATCAAACAATTTAAAGAGTAAAGGAGAAAGATGCAAGACAATTATGGACTTGAGGATCTGATAAAAAATGAGAGAATATTTTCACACAATAAAGCGTCTAAATAAACATGTAATTAAATCATATATCAGCTGTGGGAAGGAACCTAAATGGATGTCTAAAGTTTAACTATGAATCAATACGTTCCCCCTCCCCCTACAGTGCCATAATTTTTTTGAAAAAGGAAAATAAACTAAAAGACTGAAAGAAAGCCATGACAGACACAAAGTTCAGTTCCAGGCCATTTCTGATTAACACTTGGAACCAACAAAATTAGAACGTGGCATTAAATGAGGCTTAAAAAGACAACAAAAGGAAAGTAAACAGAAAAGACAAGTAAGTCACAAGTGTAAATTATATGAATATGGATATTTAAAATATTCTACCAATACAAAGTCAAGATAATTAGTACTTGTATATCATTTCATTCTCTAACAAACTTTATTGGTATCTACTATACACAAATCAACAAACCTTATGCAAATCTTTGGCAAGGGCAGAGCAGAACACTGATTCATTCTCCTCGTACATGCGCTTGAGGGCCTTAAGCTGCTTCTTGCGGAACTCGACATCCCGGGTTCGGCCAGAGTGGTAGGCTTCTTTGGCCTGCTGAATCACCTAAAAAAAAGAAAAAAGGATTATGTTGCATCACCGATCTTGATTTTTTAATCCGGAAAATCCATTTTCCATCTCAGGCATATCCCAATATTAATAAAAATGAAATTGCAACTCGATTTCAACCTCTGCATATAATCCCATGATCTATGAGTGATGCTGATGATGTAAGGGCAAGTACTGCAGATGAACTTTGAATATACTCCAGCAGGAACCCTAACTAATTTGATAAGAGTACTGTAATCTGAGCTCACTCACTATCTACACTTTGAGATAAGATCTACTTATTTCATTAGTCTCAGATACACATCAAACAGTTGTTAACTCAAGTACATTTCAAGGCTTCAAATAGACGTCCTTGAAATGGATCGATTGTAGATTGAGTGGACAGATTTATTGAGATAGAGAGATTGACATATAAATGAATTGCTGAAAAAAAATAAATTGGTTAGATTCGGTGTTATACTGAAGCAAAAATTTACATTCATTAGTGTATAAATTTAAAAAATAATGAAAAGATGGAAAACATATATTAGACAGGGGAGGCTGATTAAAAAAATCTTCATCTATTGGGTTATCGATAACATATTTACACCAGGAGTTAGGTAAACCACAAACATAAATTCTAGCCCAATAACCCATTGTACAACTATTTCACATTTTGCCCTTTCACCCCTTTTGGGAAATATACAAATAATTTAAATGAATACAACTTCTATGAGATTAATATAGTACTAGGACCTTATTCAGACCTTCAAAACTATTAAGAGAAATCATAGTGAATATCACTTGTTTGCAGAATACAAATTGGATTTTTTTTTTTCGCTCTGTCATGTACCCCCAACACAGGAAAAAACTGTTAAAATTCAACCCTTACAGTTACTGATAAAAGCTCTCTATAGAAGCATTCAGGCAAGTCTAGGAATGTTACATGTAAATTTTACTTGAAATATTATTAAAAATGAAGTAATTTACATTTGAAGGTTGAAAACTTATGTTTTGCGATATGGGCCGCTAAAGTTTCTTTGACTTGGAACTCCTATATTATGATCCATAAGTAGGTGAGATGACTGCATTTAGTTCTTTATTTTTAAGTCTCAAATAATTGGAATATGTAGAATCATATGTTTTTCATATTCAGTCATATTTGTTGATGTCCAGACATAAAATCTTCTGTCTTCAGGCTTCTGTTCCCCCTTGCCTTATAAGGCAGATTATTACTCAAGAGTTTTACAGTTGCCCAAGCTAATTTTTGTTGCCAGGTTTGTTAACTGAATGCCCCAGGGGCCATAATTCTTATCATTCTTCTTTGATTTTCACAGTTTAGGGGCTTTTCTTCTGTGTTCTCTTCAGTATTCTTCTATCTTCTAGTTCATATACTAATATGATCTGAATTAACCTGAATTTTATCTCAACTACAGTCTCACATATCAATAAATTGACATCTTACATAGTGTTCTTATCCTATAACTGTTCACAACTAGCAACACCTGAATCTGAAAAGATGATAGTCACTCAACGGGGGCCATGGAGAGCTTTATGTATGGGTTGAAGGCCACAGAATGAAAAATGTTGGAAACAATTGCATTAAACTACAAATTATTGCTATTTATCATAACAAGACATTTATTGTACCAACTGATAATTCTCAGTGTTGAGTTTGTATACAGAGGGGTGATGAATTTTTTATGAAATACTACAGATTTAGACTGTTGATTACCTTTCTTAGCCATGGGAACTTTTTAAGTTTTTTTTTTTTCTCTCTTCCAATTTTTGTGATTTCTTGGTCAGCCACCCCCTTTAACATATGTAAGAATGATGTGGATAAACAGACGAACCAAAGATGGCACATATGAACATGCCATGGCCACTTGTGTTTACATATTGGGCTCTGCAAGTGATTAGTTTGCTAGGAGTCAAATGATAAGAAGAAATGTTTTGAGGCCTCTTTGATCAACTGTCAAACATTAATTGAGCCTTCACGTACATTTCTATTGCATAACAGCGCCTGCTTTTACAAATGATGCAATATATTAAACAAAGGGATGCCACATCACATTTAGATATAATAAATGCGTAATATTTCTGTTTTGATATAACCAAGGTTTATTGCCATATTTACCTTATCATGTTATTACAATTGATTATCGATATAAGGTCTATAAAGACACACATGCTTGTTCTAATTAACAGAATTGACTTTGAGATGAGGCAACACGCCAAATCATAGACAATATCGCAAAGAACAGTCATAGACCTTTCATGAATACCACCCTTGGTGGCTGAGCACTTATGGAGCCATCCATGTGAAACACATTGCACAAAGGAAAACTGCAGTGGAAATCAGATGTTCCCAGTGGCAATGGGCTAACTGGCAATTAACCAGTAACTATCTAGGAGAGGACCATGTAATCTAAGAGGAAAACTATGATAAAGACTACTAAGAATACCATGACATAAAACACTATTAGGTATAAATCTATTTATTCCTCATCTACAGATGACCTTACAGTAGGAATGCACTTATATTAGGTAATGAACATCATTAGGAGAGAATAGAGATGGAGCTTATTTCAACTTCCATGAAATTATGAAATATAAAATAATCATAAAATAAAATAGTGGTATTAACTTGTATGCCAATAATCACAACTGTAATATCTGAAAATGAGACACTGGGCAGTGACTGTCACTACTATCTGTCAGACATACATGGAGGAGGATTTTTGGCCTTTATTGAACCATAACCAGGTCTTGAGACTGCACTGATAAAAGACCAGAAAAAGATAAGTGAATGTTCTCTATACAATTACCAGAATAGAAAGCATAAATAATCAATGTTTCTTTAACCAAAAAAAAACACAGTAAAATCTGAAGGAGAAGCAACTTTTGCAACACACACCACAAAAAAGTATTCAATTCTGACTAACCTGTTCATATCTTGTCATCTTCTCCATACCTCGTTAACCTAAAGGAAAGAAAATTCGCAATTAGTTTTATTATGAATTAAAAATATAACAAAAAAAATATTTTTACATAATCCAAAGTAGCTATACAAGTGTGCTCAAAATAAACAAACAAACAAACAAACAAACAAACAAACACACACACACACACACACACACACACACACAGAGGAGAGATTTGATGAAGCATCAAGTTCATTTCATGGTAAACGAAGGTAAACACTCTCACTCACTCACTCACTCACTCACTCACTCACTCACTCTCTCTCTCTCACCCTGGTGGAGGGTAAGGGGTGAAGTAAAGGATAGGGGGATATGGAGGGCAAGGGTCAGACCACAGAGGGGTAAACTGTGACATAGACTCTGCCAATGATAGTTTCTCATTTTGAGGAAAGGTGGGGCATAGTCTAGGTGATTTACATTGGTGGGAAGAGGTATGGTGGGTGGAGCTACAGAATTTCTAGGGCAATATAAGGAGTCTAAATAATAGAGCCAGTACAGATTATGGGGATCACTCAGCAGCAACTAAAATAAAATAGAATTATGATGCCAACATTGGCGTCACAGTATATTCCACTGGTGTTTCATTATGCCGAAACCAGTGTCACCGTAGAGAATGGGTTAAATTCGCTTATCAAAATGGAATCAATATATCTATCAGGAAAAACAATTCCTGTATGTTAAATTCATCTCCAGACAATAATCAATGACAACTAGAATCAAAAGGCTAATCATATACAAGGACAGTTTCATGTTACTTATTGTCTACAACTTTGCAAAGTTCAAGGGAATTCAAAGCCAGATGCTGTATTCTGTATACATACTGTAATGGTTGTGATAATGCACTTACAATGAAAGTGCGTCCAAGAAGTTTGTTATCAAAATAAGTAACTAATTTCAGCTCTATCTTGCCTGAGTTTATATTTAATGGTTTTGGCAACTACAATTATTGTTCAACTATGGAAGATTAAACTACACGTCTTCCTTTTTTTTTTAACCTTAGGCAGAAATCAACCAAGTAGTATGTACTCTGAACTCCCCCTCCCATACCCAAAAACTGATTCACCAAATGTCCCCAGAGTCTGTAGAATGGGGAAGGGGGTCCATTTTAGAAAAAAAAAAAAAAAAAAAAAAAAAAAAAAAAAAAAATATATATATATATATATATATATATATATATATATATATATATATATATATATATATATATATATATATATATATATATATATAAAACTTGCAACAAAAATGAATATCACTTTTTCTCTAATTGCATTGAAATACACAAGTCATGGTCACCTTATAAAAAAAACATACCCACAGTATAATTTCCTAGCTTCACATGAAGAAACAAGGAATTGTTACATTTTGGATTGGAAACCATGTTCTATTACCATGCTAAATAATTAACAGATTTACTGTATGAAACAAAAAAGATCCATTTAAAAGCAAAGTGAGTGAAAATGACACATTGACAGTATATGAGCCTATCCACATGTGAAAATGTTATTAATATAATTAACATGATGTAAAATGAACCACAAAACCTGAAACTTTTACACTTTACCGTGACTGTAAATTACATCAGATCAACTAAACAAATTTGAAGAAATCTACCAAACCATAAGACAAATAATTTGACAAATAAATGTTGTCCCTTCCTTTCTAGACGACAATGCATTCGGCATTACCTTTACAAATATATGTTGAAAAACATGTTCAATATTGATATATATTTAACCCAATGGAGACGGGTGAGGAAAAAAAAAAAAAAAATCTACGCTCTGGCAAACAAAGCCGACGTGCCAACTTTGAGTGCGTGAGTTCAGTACATCAGCCCGAATCACTGGCTCGTTGCACTTTGGCATGCCACACGGCGTACAGCCGCACGCCAGCTTTCGAGCGGTTTGTTTTCACACCTATCGAAGTCACCCGTTGGGAAGGGGTTAAAG